AAAAAAAAAAAAAGCAATTTCCTTTTTTTTTTGCTTACTGCTGTTGTTATAATTTTAATAATCGCAACTTTTTCCAGCGTCATTTTCCTCTTACATTAAATTACTTCTGAAAATATGATGTAATTGTCAAAGTTAAAAAATAAACAGCATTTTTTATCGGTATTAATACATACAAATTGGTTCGTTCAAAATAAGTAAGTAAATACACGAAGATTTATTGCTAAGAAAAAAAAAGGAAAAAAAAAATAAACAACTTTTTTTGTTGTTAATTCACACAAACAGCGATAGACAACTAATTTTTATAAATAAATTTTTTTGGATAGTTTTATGTACAGACTGTATGCAAAGAAGTATGAATGATCTTGGGAAGAACTGTTTGCAGAAGCAGTCGAATTTGCAGGTAATCATTGCATAAATATAAAAACATATTTGAAATTCGAGCATCTTTACTGATAAAAAAAAACTTTCTATCTTATGCTGTGCGTGTAAGTTGTTTACAATTATTATCATGTACTACCTTTTAATTCAAAATGAAAACCGTGTTGACCAAGGTACCATTTACATAAGGTACTGGCTCACTTTTAGGCATTCAACTGCCACTTTTCAGTATAAGTTTTTTCTGCTGCAAAATCTAAACTATTATTAATAAAGATGCTGTCCTTGACATTTGAAGTTTTCTTCTTGCATATTATCCTGAAAACTTACAAAAAGCAACAAGATTTTCTGTCTGCTTTACTGCTTCCCAGTATCGATAAAATTTCTTGAAAAACTTGTGAATCCCTTGTGAATTTCCATCTGGTAAATTCCTGCCGGTTGTACAGATGTTGACGAGCAAAAAAAGCGCTTCTAAAAAGAATAACTATCCGATTTTATCAGTATCTTACAGTGCTTGTTTTATTAAATTTTTCATGCAAATTTTGACTACTATTTCTGCTCTTCTAAACAGTTATGAAGTGCCCTTTAATGTCTTAACGTGTGTCTTAATGTCTTAACAGTTATGAAAAAAAAACAGTTATGAAAAATTTGGAAATACGCTTCCAAAATCCAGATTCAATAAAAAAGACAATAAAAACTGGTGCAATCTTAAGTCGATTCAAAAAATTTAACAACTTCTAAACGATAAAAAAGCTAAGCAGCAAGTGTTCAAAAACTGTTCTATTTGTTACTAATGCCCCGTTCTTTAAAAAAAAGTAAAAAAAATTCTTTTTATTAAAATCAATAAGTGATAAAAGAAAATTAATTATAAAGTAAATCAAATTTTCACGAAAACGTTCATTACCCAAATTCTATTTATTTTTTCAACACTGTTTGGAACTATTGAAACCTTCGCCTTTGTTCACTTTTCCTTCAGAACTTCCATTAGGCTTTCTAACTATATTTAGAAAAGGATATGTAATTCTTAGCGTTACGTCACAAAAGACAAAGTCGCCGATACGACAGTTTCATACAAAAAATAAATTGATTTCCCCGTAAAGAAGTCGACGACAGATGTAGAAAACAGAAAAAATATCACTTTTTCAAACAGAACTAAGGTCACCTTTCTGGCAATTGCTTGCAATATAATTGCTTTTTTCAGAAACGACTGCTCCTCAAAAAAATGCATTAACTTTAAAGTTAAGGCTTAAAAGCAACAGTCACCAGAGGTAAAAAACTAGGTGGAGGCTAGAACTTACAGAAACAATTAGTAAAACCTGTTCAATGCAAATACTGTTACAGCCTAAATACTAGATACAGAATCACTACATATATCAGAGGCGTTACCACTTCACCCGTTACTTCACCAATTTCTATTACGCTACATTAGCACCTAATTTCCATAATTCATGGTCCTTTTAACATTACGAGACAAATACAAGTCATTGTTAAACTCTGGCAATGCTCTTTTAAGTGGCAAAACAAGATAAATTTAGAATACAATATGTATTTTACTTAACTTATGGCTCTCACGTCCCTGAACTATCATCCCCTTCGTAGAATTACCCTGTCAGATAAACACCCCAAGTTGGTAACTTTCCACAACCTTATGCCAGTGTTCTTTTTCCCACCAACATCGCTTCAACATTATAAACCTGTCAATCAAAATATTGATCCTCCAAACACCTCAATCAGATGCCCAATGCAGCGTTATATACTTTTTTTAGTAACACACACAACCACAGTGTCAAAAAAGTTTAGAAAATTTCACTCAAAAGTTGCTAGTTCCGGCTATAATATCTAAAGCTATTTCATAACCTTCTTACCAATCCCCTTGGCGTTGAGAAAAACTCGGGACGGTCAAACCGTCAGTCATAGAGCACCCAACCACTTATGTTCAAAAATATTGTCGAAATTCCTAAAGCAGTACTCAGTAATGACCTCCCGACACCGCTGCAACACTAAAAAGCTTCCTCACTAGTAGGAACCGCAATGAACTTTATTTTCAGCTGCAGACAAAAAAATTCAAATGAATTTCCTTCCGAGAAGAAAAATTTGAAGACACCCTACTTTGCCTTCCGCCTCCCCTGTCGCGAAAAGTGAGGATTGAAGGCAGCAAGCTTTTGATAGAGGCCAGGCTGCAGGTTGGCCACAGTGATAAATCTATATATGTGTCGGCAAAGACTTACTGTTGTGTTTTCTCTTATCTCCACGAGGCTCTTTAGTACCTCTTTGGCATTGCTATTTATTATTTCTTATTATTACAATTTCCTTCAACTTTGGCTTTATCTGATTACTTCGCTTTACCTAGGACTGTTTTGTTTTATATAGGCATTATCGTCGCAAGTTTTTCGTTCTAAACTTTGTCAAATGGGTTTAATTAACCAAGTTTCAGGTGTTTGCAGTCAATAAATCTACTGCGCAAAACTTAAGTGCGGTTCGTTCCTTCAATCCCAGTATTCTGTCGATTATCAACAACATAGCAGGAATTAGAAGATTTCGCTACACCCTTCCCC